TGCATTTACCAGGAGAATTCGATCCCTGTGCTTCTGAAGACAGTAAATTAAAACCATTGCTTGTCATGTAGAATGAGGCCTGTTGGGTGGCTGGCTCTTGTCTACCCTTGCATATACCCCTGATACATGGAATTCTGATCCTAGGAAATCTTGTAGGAGGGGAGTGCTTGTGTTGTTGGATTTGAACGTTTTGAGAGACACTTAGATCCCATTTCCAGGCATCCAACACAGATGCAGGAGGATTTCAGTGGGGTTGCATGTTCTCTGCTCTACTCACATTGCTCAGGTTTCCTGTTTTCTCAACAGTGTATTGCAGACATCCTTTTTGTGTCCAGATCTGCCTGTCCACCACCATGGTGACAGCAGCTGGTGACACTCCCAGAAGTGACAGTGAGGGGAGTGGTCTGAACGTTTCTCAGCTCAAAGGCACTGTGGGAGTTGGAAGGTTTGGAAAGCAGAAGGGATTGCAAGCCCACCCAGCCTGAGCTGGGGAAACGGTGTCGGGATCCTGGCTTTTTCTCTTATTGGAATAGAGAAGAACTTATGGAAAGAGACACTTAATCTCCATGGAGGAACTAAAAGAACTGCACAGCTCCCTGGTAAACCCTTTCAATTGATACTTACCCTCATGATCAGCAGATTCTTTTCAGTCCAAACCTGTCTAGTTTCAGCTTCCAGTCCCTGCCTGCTGGTTTCTCTTTGCTGGTTCACAATGCTCTCTGCTGATAGGGAACCTATTCTCCACGCAGGTGTCCTCTGTTGGGGTTTACTTTTCTCATAAACTATCCTGGCAGTAATTCTCCTAAAATAGGAGCAAGAAATCGAAGTAATAGCCCAGTCTTGCTGATCTATCTAAGGAAGAGATGTCTCTATGCACAGGTCCCTCTAAGCACTTCCCTTGTTATATATGGCACAGGGTGTGCCCTGGTAGGAGCTGGGTTTGTTAGAGCTCTGAAGCCTGTCTGGTGGTGCTGTGCCAGCTGTGGAGCTGTGCGGGATGTGGAACTGCGCCAGATGTCGAGCTGGGCTCTTGAACACCATCTCCTAGTTGCCTCCCCTCCCTGTGCAGTCTCATGGCCCCTGTCCTTGCTTGCCCCAGCAAAAGGATTGCCTGTTATAATATGCCAGCTTAGCCAAAACTTCTCCCATATGGGTGTACAAACATGGTTCCAGTTTAACTGTGCTGATACAAAAAGAAGGGACTGCAGATAGTCTGGCTGGGACGATTGCATCTACTGAGGAAAACAGAGGAAGAAAGTCCCTCTTTTTCCTCAGATCTCCTCTTTTGGCAGAGGAGGGACAGTGTGCTGCCTCTCTGGCCTCTGTGGCACTCTCACATCTGAAAGGACACGTGCATGTGTCGTAACTATGAGGTACTTAATCTGTGATGGATTATAGAGCCCTGTCCTACATGTATCAACCACAGATCCCATCATCCCACATTAGCTATTCCCTGGGCTCCTACACAGTGAGTGTAGGGCTTATAGTGATATGACAAGGGGAATGGCTTTAAACTGAGAGAGAAAAGATTTAGATTGCATATTAGGAAGAAATTCTTTACTGTGGGGGTGGTGAGGCATTGGCACAGGTTGCCCAGAGAAGTTGTGGACAAAGCCAGATTGGACATGGCTGGTCTAGTGGAAGGTGTCCTTGTCCATGGCAGAGAGGTGGAATGGGATGATCTTTAAGGTTCCTTCCAACCCAAACCATTTGGTGATTCTATGATTCATTACAGACAGGGTGGTGGGGAAACCTGAATGAAGCCAAGTTTTGTTTCTTCTTCAGTTGCTCCCCTATGCCATTTTCAGTTCCTCTTTCCCCCCTAGAGCTGCTATAGGAGTCGTAGTTCAAGTGTTGTTTGGAGGGGGTTGCACTGGGACCATTTAGGGGCTCTAACACACAAGAGGACCCAGCATTCAATGGATCTTCCTCTGCAGTCTCCATGGGGTGATAAAGTCCTGTCTATTACTAAGCTGGTATTTAGGATCACATTCCTTTCTAAATCAAAAAGAGATTCACACATCCATACTCTGTGCTGTCTTGGTTTCAGCTGAGATAGATTTCTTCCTAGCAGCTAGTACAGTGCTGGGTTTTGGATTCAGTATGAGAATAATGTTGGTAACACACTGGTGCTCGGTAGTGATGACCCCGTAAGTCAAGGACTTTCCAGTGTCCCATGCTGTGCTAGCAAGGAGCTGCACAAGGAGCCAGGAGGGAGCATGGCTGGGACAGCTGACCCAAAATGGCCAAAGGGATATTCCATACCACAGAACATCATGCCCAGTGTATAAACTGAGGGGTTAGCTGGGAGGGGCTGAGTGCTGCTGGTGGACAGAGTGGGCACGGGTCAGCAAATGGTGACCATACCATACATCACTTGTCTTTCTTGGGGTTTGATTCCTCTCTCTTTTTCTTATCTCTGTGTTTTTTGTTATTATTACCCTCATCGTTATTGTATAATCATGTTTGTCATTATAATTACCTTTTAATGATTAAACTGTTCTTATCCCAACCCATGAGCTTTACCTTTCTTTCTGATTCTCCTCCCTGTCGCAGGGATGAGAGGCAGTGAGTGGGTGGTGCTGAGTTGCTGGCTGGAGTTAAACCGCAGCACATGCACATAACAAGCCAACCATTTTCCCATTGCTTTCAAGAGCTTTGGCATTTGGCAGTGCTGATATTTCCCGTATATTCAGTCCTCTTGACCATCACTGACAGAGATCACTGCACTTCTTGACTGGCAAATCAGAAGCAAAGGTAAAAGTATTAGTAACCAAAAAAATGGAATTAGCAATTGCAAAACATAATGCTTGTGTGCTTTTTGAAGTGATACACATTTTGGCAGGGAATACAGCTAAAACATTGTGTTCACTTTGCTCTTTATACTATTTCCATCCAACATTTGTAGCCATGGCACCTGTCTGTGAAAGACCTCTGCTTTTCCTGCTGTCGGTCAGGGAGGCATGAAGCAACACTGAAAATGTGACTCAAAGGATGTAGGGGCAATTTAGAGCTTCCCTTAAGCGTACTGGTAGTGCCTGTCCTTGCAGGGCACTGGTGCTGACCGTGCAAAAATGGAGCAATACCATGGGCCCCTAAAGTGAGCTGAGCTGAGCCTCATTGTGACCTCCTGGGCACATGGGATTGCTGTAGGATCACACTAAGAAGTAGGGGTAGCGGGAATGGAGGGACTTCAGTTCCAGAAGGGAAATATGTGTTAAGTATAGAAAGGTGAGCGTGCAGCAAAATGTTTGAAATCTGAATCTTCTGAAACAGAACCTATGGTTGGATTATCCCAAATTCTTCTTTATGAGGTTTTCATGCAGAACAGCGATAGTCTGGAATAACTTTGTTATTTTCAAGGCCAGAGATCCATGCAGGGAATATAAGGGACTCAACCTGCTGCCGTATCCTTCAGGAGCTGGTATACTGCTACTACAGAGTTTACTTTTCTTCAGTGTGCTTTAACAAACAGTAACAGAGGACCATTAACCCTGTGATGGAGAGAGTTCAGGAGCTGTCCCAGGATTTGTTCCAGCACACTGCTATCCAATGGAACATGATGGGAGAGAGACTAGTTTTGTGGCTCAAAAAGTAGCTTGGGGCTACCCTATTCCCTCTGATATGACTTCCTCTGCATATCTTAGCAGCTGGAGAAGAGAAGCTTTGGGGCCACTGAACTGTGGCCTTCCAGTATCTGAAGGGAGCCTGCAAGAAAGAGAGACTGTGAATCCAGTGCAGTTGCTTCAGACCTGCCCCCCACCATGTCAGAAGGCATTTCCTGGATAGACTAGTTTCTGTGGGATAAATATTCAATTTAACATATTTTTCCTTGTTATTTTGCATTTCTTCCATTGAAGACAATGGAAACAAACAGACAGACAAAAGAGAGTGCCTCACATGCCTGGTGTGCCTTAGGGAATATAGAAAGGTTAACTGGAGCTCCCTGGGTGAAGCCAGGAGCAGGCTGTTGTCTCCATAGCTGCAGCCTGCAGGATTGCAACTGGCAATCTTTGGCCATCCACTTTATCTCCTGGGTGAAGAGACCAGGTTCACACCTCCTTTGTAATGAAGTCCTCTCTGCCAGTCTCACATCAAGCAGCTGCTTTAAATCCCAAGCTACCAAGGAACCAGTAGAATTACTTGAAAAAGGGAATAGTCCAAGTGATGCAGTGTAGTGCAGGCAATTACCTGCACTTCAGCTTCACCTCTTTCTTTTCCCACACCCTGAAGCTGCAGTGAAACTTAAAGCTGAGTTGATGAAGAGATGTACGGCTGAGATGTGGCACCTGAACCTTTGTAGCAGTTCTGTGTGTGCCTGGACAACAGGTGACAGCCTGGTGCTCATCTCCCACTGTTCCTAATTACACAGACCACTCTTAGTAATCTGGATCCTAATGATCTTGTATCTGGATAATATGGATCCAGATTACATGTAGATCAGTAATGTAAGCATTGCTCATTACATGCGTTATTATTATACAATCAGCATCCTGATAAATTTACTTCAGCACATGAGTCTATAGGCTGAATGGCTCTGCAGTCTTGGAACTGTCTGAAGGTGATGGTGCCCCTGTAAAATAAATTGGGAATGCACTTCCATGACGAGTGCTTTGACCCACTGGTATATCCACATGAAGGTAAATGAGGACCAGGTGCCTGCCTCTCTTTCTCAGACACTTGATCATTTTATGCTTTGCATTTTACTGCTTAATAAGAGCCATTTTCTTGGACAAGTCCAGGTGCTCTTGGGGCATCAAATACAGAGGGGTTCATTTTTGTCCCAAAGGGTGATCTGTGTATTCAGTGCTTCAAGGGAATGTTGCTTCATGTTCTGGGTGAAGCTAAGACAGATGAGGGAGAAATGGACTGGAAGTCTTTGAGTGTACTGGAATCTCTAGAATGCCAAACCACATGGTTCCTTTCCAGATGTGTGTCTGGTTAGACTGTACATTATCTTTATATTGACTTAATGGTTGGGTTTTTTCGTTTCTCATCAGAAACCCGGAAAGGCAACTCCTCAGCCAGGAGAAGATACCTCGAATGGCCACCTTCCCCCCGGCTGGCAGAGCTACATGTCTCCCCAGGGCCGCAGGTACTACGTGAACACCGTCACAAATGGTAAGTGAGGGTGAGGGTTCAGTAAATGTTGTAGCCTAGCAAGATATATCTGCTGCAGAAAATTGCCTTTCAAGTTGATTTTGATGACAAAGTAGGCCCAGAGCCAAAGGAATTAATATGACCTGACACCATGTGAAATAATGATAAGAAAATCTAGTCTTATGATCATCTGTCATCTTAATTCTGACCATCAGAAGGCGTCTGAAGCATTTACAAAAGACAGAGAATGTAAAGTAGAAATATCCCTGTCATTAATGTTTTAGAATTTGAAACACTTTTAAGGATATAATTTTTACCACATTCCCTATTTCCTTTCCCTTTAACTGGAGATATTTCTGTCTCTCTATATACATACATGTGACGTAGTTTGATAGAACTAAAGCACTAGCACTAAAGCACCACTGAGGAAAACAGAAATAGTGAACTGGTCAGACTCAGTTTTTCCATGAAGAAAAACACATTTAATGGGACAGCACAGACAGAATCTTCAGTTCTGTACTTGTGTGGTTTATTCACTGTCATGCTGGTAGAGAAGCAGACTTAACTCACGATCTTATCAGCTGCTCAAGACCTGTCAAACTTGTACCACCTCTGGCTTACCTAAGACTCCGTGTCTACCTGCTTTTCTCATACGAGCTCAAAGCAGCATTGCAAAACAGGGACTTGTGACCAGCAAAACCAGGTTTCCTTAGCAAAAAGAATGCCAGAATGACAAAGAAGAAGAGGACAGTTGTTAACAATGGAATTGCAGCCATCAGAAATGACATTGGCGTTACTCTCCCTGACTCACAAGGAGAGCCATGGGCTGTCCCAATGCACCTCATGGTCTGTTCTGGGACTGTGTGTTTTATTTCAGAAGCCCTTGGCCTGGAACTTGGCCAAGTAATTATTTACCAAATTTCAATGCATGAACATCTTGTAGGACCCTTTCTCCAGAGGGCACATTTCAATTTAAGCCTGCCTTTGTTTTCAAACACAGTCTGCTCTGGCTGATGGCCAGCATTCTCTGCACAGCTGAGGAGATCAGCAGGAGTTAGATACCCCATCCCCACTGCCATTCAGAGGTGGGTGAGGAAGTGATTAAACTCAATCCTAAGCTATCATGGGGATGGACCCTTACTCACTGGTTTGAGATAAAACCAGTAAGAGGCAGAGCCTGTTTTTTATGTGATAAGAGCTCTTGTCCTAGGGACCCTATCCCAGAAAGGTGGGTAGCCTGGACTAAGTTTCTCCATAATGTCAGGCAGCTTTGTACTTTCCTCATAAAAGTTATATATATAACAAGGGCCAATAGCCACACCGTGCTTGGGAGATCCAGGCCAGTAATCAGGAGAGCAATTTTGTCTAGGAAGGGAGGATAACCCTGGCACAGGATGATTACCAAGGTGGAGGAATCTCCATCTTTGGGAAATCTCAGAAACTGCCTAGACAGAGCTGTGGCTGATCTGTTGTTAGCAGTGATCCTGCTCAGAATGAATAGCAGTGATCCTGCTCCAGAATGGGCTGAAGACTTACAGAGAGGTCACTTCTAACCAGTCTTTCTCTGGAGAATGCCCAAACCACCTTTGGTTGTGGTCTCAGCTACTACAATGGGATTGTTGTGCAGCAGGAAATATGGTTCTCAGAATAACAGCATGTAAGAGAGGGTAAAAGTGGGACTTCTGTGTTCTGATCCTTGCTTTAGGGAGCACTTATTCAAGTCCTGTTTAGATGAGAAACTCCTCACCAGAGTAATCCTAAGCCCAGTGGGGTTTGGAGTTAGGTGTTCTCTTGTTTCCTGTTCTGGGCATAGGGAATTACTGAGCATTTCTGAGCCTTCCTTACTTCCATGAGAGCTGTAGCATTTTGTGAGACAACAGGAATCTCCAGCAGCACGTACAGGGGCACTCTGACCCCTCGAATACCTCCAGCTTAGGTAGTGTTCCTGGCACACTCAGTTTCTCTCAGCCTGTTCAGTTAGGATATGCTGCTGCCTCAAAGTCTTCTAGCTGTGTAGAGACTGCTTTGTGCAAGTTTATCAGCTTGGTGATATCACTTGAGAGTGTTTTTGCTCTAGTTGGGCTGTATGGCATGATCAAACTCAGATCTCAAATGCCTGTGCTTCCTCAAAGTGGATTAATTTGCCAAAAAAGTGCCACCTGTGGTGTCATCTAGGCTTCAGACAAGGCAGAATGCAACCTCCAGACCTTCCTGATGAAGTGTGTGATGAAGCCTTATCCAGTCCTGGCATGGGCAGCTGTCTGGACACTGATTTGATTTAATCTGACTAATAGGCTTTGATCCTGCAAACCTTGTAGTTCAGGACTATCTGTAGGCTCATGTTGGTCCAGTCTCATGTTGATGCACTTTCTTCCTTGGCTGTACTGCAGAGTTGGACCTACTGAGCCATGCAGTCACCCTAAAGTCGAGTTTGGCATGTGAGGCTAACAGTGCACTTTGACACTCCAGATGTGTTCTTTGGCTTCAAGCCGTATGATAAGTCAAAGACAAAACACTATAAACCTTCATTCCCCATCTTTCCTGTGGTAGAGCTGCATTGGCTTGGGTAATGTTTATTGCCAGTCTCACTGACTGGACCCTCCTGACTTGTCTGAACTGCTTATTTGTCCTGTCACTGCTGCAGCTGCTAGCAGGAGTACCAAGATAAACAGTGGCAACATTTGTCACGAGAATATGGTGGTAGCAGACATCTCTGTCACAGGGTTTCACGGGCCTCCATCCTGCTTTGCCTCCATAGCACCATTGTTTCAGCAGCAGGAGCCAGGTCTCTTCTCCATCAAGGTGAAGATGTACTGCTAGGCTGCTCTCTCTTTACCATAGCTATCACCAGATGATGAAAGTATGCTGAAGCATTTTAGAGAGGTATCACTGTCTAGTGGACACACATGTGAACTCAGAAGTCAGTGGAAGCCAGTTGGCTGGCCTTCAGTGTGATCCATGTAGTTAAAGGTCTGCTGCTCATCATTACCCACCAACGGCAGTTGATGCAAAACTCTTAGTTTGTAAGGCCACAGTAACTTCTCAGATCTCCCAGGAACCAGGTAACTCTTTTACTGAGAGGGTTGATTGGAAAGTGTTTCTAGACCTTCCCCTCCTTTCTGAGGAAGAAGTATTGGCATCTCCAAGGGAGTGAAGGCATCCTTATTTTAATGAAGGCAAATGGCCAGACTGTCTCTTAGATAAGGAATGAGTACTGTGAGATGCAAAGTGAAAGATTAAATCTGTCCAAAGCCCCTAAAAGGGTTTGGGAAGGAGCCTTCTCCAGCCAAGGAGCTTCCCTGTCGAATGTGTGTTCTCATGCAAGGGCTCCCCTTTAGCAGATGCAGCAAGGCACAAGGTATGCTTGGAGAAGGAAGCTCTGTGTAATGCCCTGCCAGGAGATGATTGCACTTCAGAGCAGGAAGGGAATGAGAAAGAACTTTCTGGTTATTCTCAGTATAAGTGGTGATTCTCTTTTTTTTTTTTTTCCTTTTCTTTTTTCTTTTTTTTTTCTTTTTTTTTTTTTTTCTTTTTTTTTTTTTTTTCACTTCTGGCTTTCACAAGCATCTGTATCTGCTTTGCTGAAAATAGATGTTTTATTAGAGCTGTGCAGTAACATAGCTGCACTGGAAGGTGAATTTAGGGCAGCTCGGATAACAGCAAGGCAACTGTTCCATGAAGGTTATGATAGATGTTTCAGCAGAGGGACCTCAGACAGTTCACTGTCTGCTCATCCCTACCAGGGCCTTCTGCTGTGTCGAGTAGCAGGAGTGGTGGCTCAGGGGGGTGAATGCTTTGACATATTGCAAAACACTGGGACACACACCGGGGCTGTAAGGATTTCCAGGGACCTTCTTACACTGGACTACACTGAAAACTGAGGTGTTCTTCTTCTCCATTTGGAGCTTTCTGTCAAAGAGGACTTCAGTTTTCAGTTCCAAAGTGGAAGGAGGTTCTGACTTTAGAGCAGATCAGGCATATCTGTGTATATCTTGGCTGCCCTTGTCAGGATCTAGAAAACTTCCTGTTCAGGAGGAAGAGATGTGAATCTGTCCTGGAAAGGCTCTGTATCTGTCATCGACCAAAGCTCCTCCCAGGCTCTGAAATTCTCTACGGAGTTTCTTTCCATTTCCAGGTGCAGAATCTGGACATGGATCAGAATCACTGTGCAAATCAATGGTATCTTCTCCAGGTGCTGAAGTACCAAATTGTCCAAAGGGACTGTACAACTTCAGCTTTGTTATAGTGGCTTGTACTTTCTGTAGCCTCTTTTTTAAATTTCTTGACATTTTTGAATCCAAGAAGGGATTTCTGTATCTCAACCATGGTCTGAGCTCTTCTTACTCAGAGAACAAATAGTTTCAGAGGGAGTAAATATGACTGTTTATTCTTCTAGCTTACAGCAGGTCTCTCTAGCTGCTCTGGAGACTGGTTTTATGCATTTTTCCCCTCTTATTTTAGATAATTTAGAATATCCTTCCTATCAAAGCTTTTCTGTATTGTTTTCTCTGTTCTTCTCCTCTCTACTGAGGCTGAGCCAGGCAGTGCAGCTGAAGTAGAGGTAGGAGGCTCTCTACTTCTACTCAAACATGCAGAAATTTGAGAGGAGAAACTAATAATAATTAGAAGCAGCACAGAGCTGTCCAGTGGACCGAGGAGGAGGGAGGGAGGGAGAGAGGAAAGGAGGGAGGCAGACAGAAAGGAAGGCAGACAGGAAGGAAGGAAGGAATTCCTCTCCACGGCACAGAGCATTCAGCAATATCCTCAGCTCTCAGCTGGAGCCTCCCCAGAAGTTCCTTCGTGCTCTGCCTCGTGCATGTGCTGTGTGCACCCTGGGGATCCTGTCCAGCTGCTTCCATCCATGGATGCAGCTGCTGAGCCCCCACCAACAGCCTCCTACTGCCCGCTGTTTCTGATCCCATTTTTTCCAGAGTCCAGAGGCATGGCCCCAGTCTGGACCTGCCACTGAATGCAGTTAATTGCTGGAGTGTTCCACTCTGGTTTTTCCTTTAGGGCTACTG